TTGGGATTCAGAATGAACTGATTCATCATTTTACATGAAATAACAGCAAGGGCACAGCTAGTGCCTTCCCAAACTACATAACAGATCCAGCACATCACCGTGTAGGACCAACTGTATACAGAGGTGCCTGAATTGTGCGTGTATACAGTGCAGTGTCCATGGAGTTGAACGTGTTAAAAACAGGCTCATTTACAAAATCAAGTTGAAATTTTTTTCTCTACTTCTATAAAAAGAAAGCTTTTTGAAGTTGTTCTGCTTTTCTTCAAGAAAACAAAGTATGTTCTTTCCATAATCTCCCGGGATCTTCATACTTCAGAGACAACACAGTATTTTCGGTTCAGCTCTTCTTACCATTCATGTGAAACTTCTCAAGGTTATAAGCCACGTGAAAAAAATGCCTCCACTGTGGGAAAAAAATTATCACAACGCTGTATTGAGAAAGGAGAGATAATGGCCGCTCAGATGTCAGTGGCAAATTGTTTTCTACCCCCTACTTGTAAAATCTTTGGGGTTGGCCAGGACTCCACTGCCACCTACTTTTCTCTTTTGGGAATTTGTTTTTTTCTAAAATGCTGCCAATCACGCCATTATCCTATCAGGGCAAACATGCGGACAAAACAAAGACTGCAACTGTAAGGGCAATAGATGAAAACAATTACTAGAGGCCAGCCTGCTGATCCGATCAGAATCTGGGGCTGACGCCGCAGTTGGGGGCCAGGTCCAGAAGGTCAAGCTGGCACTTCTGTGAGTCACAGAACTGACAGACTACTCAACTCCCAGGAGATGGAAGGGTAGGGCGCCCCAGCATTATCTCCGCAGTCGTGAGGCTCCAATGCTCACCCATGCTATCAAAAACCTTTTTTAGTCATAAAACTATTCTGAGCTAAACACTGAGTGGTTAATTTTTAAAAGAGGGGTGTAATTTGGCAAGTAGGCATTCCCAGCAAAAGACAATGAGAGGTTCCTGCAAGCGATTTCACTCAGGATGCACAAAGCCTGATAAACTACTCTCACTGGAGCCACTCTTAATCCTTGAAACAGCATCTATCTCCATAGTAATCACAGTGTTCATTTTCTAGTTTTCCAACCTACTTAGGTAAAATTACATAATGTAGCAATGAAGAAGTATCAGTATCTAATTCTCAAGATTCTATGGGGACCATTGTCTTTTATTAACCACACAGTTTTTAAGACAAAATTATAATAAAATCACATGATGGAAAAACTGCCGGTAAATGTCTGCCTTTGATTCAGGAGGCTGATAGAAATTAAAGTTTTCTTTCTAAACGGAAACCTCAGAGCTCTGGGTGACTTTTAAAAAATAGATGAATGAATTTCTAAATAGAAAATAGAGATAATTCAATCTTAAAACTCAAACAATATTGAAAATATTTATTAATAGAAAAAAGTCCAACGCATGAAATGAAAATGCTCAGTCTTTTCTAATAGATACTCAAAGCTAGCGATCTCACTTTTCATTAATATTTGCTAAAATCTATGTAACAACTTCTAGATTTAGGTTTTTTTGTTCAGGACTAGAGTGACGCCAAAGACCCAAAAAACAGGGATTAAACTAAACTGTGAGCAGCCGTTTTTAAAAAAAGACTACATACACACAAAATAGGATTACACACTTTAATTTGATTGACATGGAGGAAGTAGGGAGGACGGGAAAGAAATTTAGTTTTAGCTCTGCTTTATGCATAACGAGATGCTCCTTTTCCAAAAAGTATACTGAGGTTTTAAAAACCACATTTGATCAGAATACTTCAGGAAAACACACTAGTGCAATCCAGGAAATACACTATTTGCAGAATAGGAAAATCATCATGGGCAATAAAAGATTAAAACAAAAGAAAGCACCTGGGCTTTGAGCAGTTCTAAGGTGAGTATATCTGCAGGAATAGTGTAAATGCTCTTGACTGGCTGCTATGGAAACATGCTAATGAGGATTGGTCCGTATCTTAACATTTCTTGAAATATGCTTCTTTGGAGGAATGGCAATGTGGGCTGGGAGTAAAGATGTCCTTTCAGACACCCAGCTTATTGGCCTGGGTGAGAACAACTTTGAGAACTGGCATGAAAGCTGAGGTCTCACTGAAGTTGCTGGTGCTAACTATGTGGGTGTGGATGGTCAATCCTTCTGAGTAGTTTCGCGTTTCAATGCTCCTTGCAATGTTGTGTAAACCATTGATGATTGTGGGTGAAAGCTGAAATAAAGGTAGAATCAAGAAAAAAAATTAATTAAGGAAGAAATTCCCATAAACACTGATATTTAAAAGGAGCTTGAAATAAATATTATAAAAAAGCAAATAAACCATTTAGTATTTCTAGAAAGTTACTTAGACCAAGCAACTCTTTAAGTCATAAAGTAGAACCATGACAAAATGACGTACGTAAGGAAATTATTATGAATTATGAAAATGTATAAGCCAGGTATTTTTTTTATAGAGAAGAAGCCAGATTCCCACCCCAAGCTGAAATGCTAACGTCTTCTTCCACTTACGAGCTTTACTTCTTCAATTATTTAAAAAAAATTTTTATGTCTTTATTTTTTTTATTTTGAGAGACAGAGACAGAGAGAAAGGGGGAAAGGGGCAGAGAGAGAGGGAGACAAAGAATCTGAAGCAGGCTCCAGGCTCTGAGCTGTCAGCACAGAGCCCGACGCGGGGCTTGAACCCACAGACTGTGAAATCATGACCTGAGCCAAAGTGGGACACTTAATCGACTGAGCCACCCAGGCGCTCCTTCTTCAATTATTTTTAGATATAGTCTCCCACTTTTTAAAAATGTTCCCAAGTATATGAAGACGTTTAAAGACTTACTCACAATATCTCAAAGTAAGGACCCTATTTATTCTCAAACCTTGTCTACAATAGAGATCTTGAACTTGTGTCTACCTGCGCAGGTAGGGCAATAGCGCTTACCATGTACTCAATTTATCAGCTCTTAACTGTTTTTTGTAATCTTACCATCTTTTAAAAACCATAAAATCTATAGTTTTTGTCCCCCACTGTTTGGCCTACATGCCAATACTTTTGAGGGAACAATTTATTTTGGACCACACCACTTCCACCGTTACATCAACTTGATTTGGTTCTTGTGAAATAAGGGATGGGACTGATGTGAGGGTGGGGAAAAGAATGTTGAAATGCAAACAACATGGACATATATAGTGAACAGAAGACCAGTTACCCCAGGGCCACTACAAGCCAGACTGTATTTCTACTCTTTGTTACAAGAAGAGTTAAAACTGCACCGCCAGCTGACAAACACATACTCTCTCTCTCCCTACTACCCTCTCATCCCTAATAAAGGACATTTAAGACACAGGTAGAGAAAGCCCATTTTATAACTGTCACAATTTTACCCCCAAATGCATTACATATAAGTGCCAGTAAGATGCTCATGAACTAGCTACTAGGAAAAAATGATTATCATAGATCCTTCTTTTTCGCACAAACTTACTGTCTGTTCCCTAAGTTTATCATACAGAAACTCCAAGCGTTTGCTGGCATCATCTAGCTTCCTCTTGGTTTGCTGCAGGAGAGGAAAAACAGATTATGTTATATTTGAACATTAACTTTAATCCAAAGACTTTGCCTTAACTCATTTCATTAACTTTTACACTCATCATGCTGAACAGCTTCATTAAAAAAATTTTTTTAACATTTATTCATTTTTGAGAGACTGAGACAGAGTGCACGCAGACGAGGGTCAGAGAGAAAGAGTGACACAGAATCTGAAGCAGGCTCCAGGCGCTGAGCTGGCTGTCAGCACAGAGCCCAACACGGGGCTGGAGCCCACGAGCTGTGAGATCATGACCTGAGCCGAAGTTGGACGCTTAGCCGACTGAGCCACCCAAGCACCCCAGCTCTATTTTATAAAGAAACAGAGGCAACTCTGAGCCAGAAACCTGAACAGACCATTAGGACAGAGTTCAGTAACCTCTTAACAGGGGTTGGGGGAGAAGGGTAAGAGGATAAGGGGCCTCCTTGGGGAGCGCGAGATGGCGTAGTGGCAGATTTCAGGTGGACTGCACGCTCATCTGACAAGGAATGTGCATGTATAACTGCACTGCCCGCAAACAACAGGGGAGCCACCTGGAGGAGCAGGGTGTCACTGTACACCAGAAAAGAAGATCTAAGGACAGAAACTGTAAATTACGGGTGCTAGCAGGCATACACAGAGGTGCCCTGGACTCTTATTCCTTAATATTACTTGTACACTTAGTCACATTTGATATGTTTAATTCTGCTTCTTTCTGAGCTTTTAGAACCCCGGGAAAAAAAAGAAAATTACCTTCCGGTGGCTTAAGATTACTAAGATGGAAGTAGTAAAATGAGCTCCTACCTCCCCGCCCCCGTACTAGACGTACAGTGAGAGAAAACTAAAATTAACAGCTTCAGTTACAATGTGATTGACTTAATGACCTATATTATGCAGTAGACTTACAAGTGACACTGGTCTTCAATATTTACTGAGTGCCTATTAAGGCCATGCTTATGTTTCATGGAGCTCAGATTCTATCATGTGGCAAAAAGGTTGTACATGAGGTGGTGATGAGTGCCAGGAAGGAAAGCTAACAGAGTGAGGGGCTAGAAGCGCTGGGAGCGCAGGGCCGTGAAGAGAGGCCGGGCAGCTACTGGACACTGGAGCAGAAGCCTAGAGCAAGTGTGCAGTGAGCAATACCGACACGTGGGGGAAGCGTTCCAGGCAGAGGAGTGCTGACATGCTCTGGGTATGCTGCAGCATGGAATGTCAGCATGTCACAAGAGGAGAAAGGAAAAGCTCGGAGCTTTCCCCCATTTCGTATCATGTTAGTTGTGGGTTTTTCATACGTGGCCTTTATTATGTTGAGGTATGTTCCCTCTACATCTACTTTGTTGAGGGTTTTTAACCATTAATGGATTTTGTATTTTGTCAAATGCTTTTTCTGCATCTACTGAAATGATCATATGGTTCTTATCCTTCCTGTTGTGGATGTGATGCATCATATCAATTGATCTGTGTATGTGACTAATTTACATGTCATCCTTGGGCAGGGGCCATGCTAATCTTCTCTGTACTGGTCCAGTTTTAGTATATGTGCTGCCAAAGCGAGCAATGATCAATCTGTGAATACCAAATCACCTTTATGCCAGGAATAAATCCCACTTGATTGTGCTGAACGATTTTTTTTATGTATCAAAATACCAACATTATTTTTCACAGAACTAAAGCAAATAATCCTAAAATATATATGGAACCACAAAAGACCCCAAATAGCCAAGCAATCTTGAAAAACAAAAGCAAAGCTGAAGGTATCATAATTCTGGACAAAGCTATAGCATGGTGCTGGCACAAAAACAGACAGATAGATCAATGGAACAGAACAGAAAACCCAGAAATAAACCCACAATTATATGGTCAATCAATCTTCGACAAAAGAGGCAAGAATATGCAATTGGAAAGAGAGAGTCTTTTGAACAAGTGTGCTGGGAAAACTGTAGAGCAACATGCAAAAGAATGAAACTGGACCACTTTCTTCCACCATACACAAAAATAAACTCAAAATGAATTAATTACAGAACTAAATGTGAGACCTGAAGCTATAAAAATCCTAGAGAGCACAGGCAGTAATTTCTCTGACATTAGCCATAACATTTCTCTAGGTTTGTCTCGTGAGGCAAAGGAAACAAAAGCAAAAACAAACTATTGGGATTACATCAAAATAAAAGCTTCTATACAGTGAAGGAGACATTCAACAAAACTAAAATGCAACATATTGAATGGGAGAAGATATTTGCAAATGACATATCTGATAAACGGTTAGTATCCAAAATCTATAAAGAACTGACAGAAATACAAAAAACAAATAATCCAATTAAAAAATGGGCAGAAAACATGAACAGACATTTCTCCAAAGAAGACATACAGACATACGGACACATGAAAAGATGCTCAATACCACTCAATCACCAGGAAAATGCAAGTCAAAACTACAATGATATTATCACCTCACACCTATAAGAATGGCTAAAATAAACACAAGAAACAACATCGTTGTTTCTCCTTATGTGGAGAAAAAAGAACCCTCTTGCACTGTTGGTGGGAATGCAAAGTGGTGCAGCCCCTGTGGTAAACAGTATGGAGGTTCCTCAAAAAGTTAAAATTGAACTACCCTATAATCCAGTAATTACACTACTGAGTATTTACCTCCAAAACACAAAAACACTAATTCAAAGCAATACATGCATCTCTATGTTTATTGCAGCATTATTTACAATACCCAAATTATGGAAGCAACCCAAGTGTCCATCAATAGATGAATAGATAAAGAGGGGTGGTATATATATACAACAGAGTATTATTCAGCCACAAAAAGAATGAAATCTTTGCTGTTTCCAACAACATGGATGGAGCTATACAGTATTACGCTAAGTGAAATAAGTCAGTCAGAGAAAGACAAATATCATTTGATTTCACTCATATGGGAAATTTAAGAATAAACTAGGGGCTCCTGGGTAGCTCAGTTAGCTAAGTGTCCAACTTTGGCACAAGTCACAATCTCACAGCTCATAACTTTGAACCCCACGTCAGGCTCTGTGTTGACAGCTCAGAGCCTGGAGCCTCCTTCGGATTCTGTGTCTCTGTCTCTCTCTGCCCCTCCCCTTCTTACACTGTCTCTCTCTCTCAAAAATAAACATAAAAAAGAGAAAAAAAGAAACAGAACAAACTACCAAAGGGGGGGAAAAAAGAGAGACAAAACAAGAAACAGACTCTTCACTACAGAGAACAAACTGATGGTACCAGAGGGGAGGTGTGTGGGGGGATGGGTGAAACAGGTGAAGGGGATTAAAGAGTACGCTTATCATGATGAGCACCCAGTAATGTATAGAATTGTTGAATCACTATATTGTACACTCAAAACTAATTGAAAGGAAAAAAAAAGAAAAGGACAGAGGAAGAGATGAAGCTATCAAGGATAACATTAGAAACTAAGTCATGCAGCAAAATTACTTCCTGGTGTATAAAAATAACTAAAGTGTAGATATGAATACAACCATACTGTAATAATGATTCCAGTTACTGATTAAAAAATAGACTTGTAAGGCGGGGATCTCTTCCAGTCCCCGCTCAAAGCTAATCTCATCTGGCTACCAGTAGGAGCCCTGCCCAACATGGCAGAGTCAGCTGGATGGAACAGCATATTAGGACCTCTCCCCTAGGTACAGGAATTATAGGAATAGTTTGTCTTTTGTGGTTCTCTTCTGCCCAGGCCTCCTGTGGACCCAGAATGAAGAGGAGATGTTGACCCAGAGAGGAGTCTAAAATCAACAAAAATTTATTGAGTTGGGCTGGGTACATAGTGCCTTCTCAACCTTTCTATTCTGACTCATTCCTGAAGGAGGGCTGGAGTCTTCCTTCATTTTTATTTTTGAATGACTGTGTCCTATTTAGAGGTGTACACAGGGGACAGTGTATTCTAGGCCGTCTGCTTCATCTGCTCTCTGTTCCTAGCTTGGTCTTTCTATCACTTCCAGAATGCTAGGCATGAAGATTTATGTTAACCTTTCCTTGCTCCTGTTTTCCTGACACTTTTAATAAAGGAAACACCTTCCAAAAGACCGGAAGAAAGTTGCACATATTAATACTCAATGTTTGATGAAACAACAAATTCTAGGAGCTGTTTTTCAAGCAGACAAGTGGCCAGTGGCTAAATAAACATATTCAATGTTTGCTGACAGAAATTGAGATTTCATCTAAAACAAGACAGCTTTGTGGAACTTCTGTTGTTGCCAATCTACAGGCATCCTCTAAGTAAACTAAGTAAAATCAGTTGCTTAACTATGAACATGACTCTAGTATTGAAAACAATTACTTTTAAGATCTTTGCAAGGTTACATATAAGATTATCTATCTACTTTTAAAGGCTTTGAGTAAGCTCAGAAAGAAATCCCAAACCTGAATTTCTTACACATCACGATTCTGTTCTATTTATGTGCCAAACATGAGGTCTGCCGATGAAAGGCAATGCAGCAAAGTGGTCAAGAGCAGAAATTCTGGAGCCAGACTGGGTTTGAATTCTGGCTCTAACCTTGGGTGTTACTTAAGTGCTTATTGTCTTAATTTAGTCATCTGTGAAATAAAGATGACTGAAATCTACCTGCCCTGGGATTGTCGTGAGGATTAAATAAATTTACATATAAAAGAAAATAATTATATTTTTATATGTAAAGCAAACTACGCAAGTGCTAGTTTTATTACTATTGTACAAACTTTTGAAGTATCTTGTAAGACTTCATACAATTACAGAAGAGCTCCATAAATGCTTATTTTTTAAAAACATTTTTAATTTTTTTTTTTGAGAAAGAGAGAAATAGAGTACGATTGAGGGAGGGGCAGAGAGAGAGAGAGAGAAAGAGAGAGAGAGCGAAGGAGACACAGAATCCAAAGCAGGCCCCAGGCTCTGAGCTGTCAGCACAGAGCCCAATGCGGGCCTTGAACCCACCAACGGTGAGATCATGACCTGACCTGAAGTCGGACGCCTAACCGACTGAGCCAAGCACCCCAATGACTATTTTAATTAAGCAAAATATGAGAAAAAAATACATACAGGGTCTGTGGCCGAGGAGAGGCAGCGCTGAATAAGATCCTCAAATGTGGTCTTTAGAATGAGGTGCTCATCTGGAATAGGTTTCTTGGTAATTTTTTCTGTTGGCAAAGACTGCACATGCTGGAAGAAATAACAGCATAAAATGACTAGAAATGACCAAAAGCTACCTATACACCAAGCCCCGAAAATCTGTGATAAACAGAAACTAGCTAACCACCTTGCAGACAGGCTGTACAAATTAACATGTAAAATCCCTTAGGAGAAGTAAAAATGAAAGTCAAATATTCAGTAGAAGGTACAGGCACTCTTTCTACACCTTTGATTTTCAAAAACAGAACTGGATATAAAGAGTTTGATGAACTATGGAACATACTGTTGATCACTACTGTACATATCTGATGGAAAGTAGACTGTAGACCTACATCAGTAGGAAATTAAAAAAAATAAGGCAATTACAAAGTTGGCTAGTTAGAGTGGCTGCTTGCTCTGCTTGTTGGCTCATTTTTGTTTATCTTTGCATTCTTCTCCTCTTTGGTTACCCTTGGAGGCTGGTAACTGGGCTAAGTTGGTAACTAGTCGAAAGTTAGGATAGAAGAGACCATGATGTTACTAAATGAACAGATAGAAAACCAAAGAAGGGATGTTTAAGTATGTAGGGTTCTGATTTATTAGTAAATTCATTCAAAAAATAGTAGGCAATTATGTGCCAGTCACTGGCTATGTATTTCTAAGCCAGTTCAGGAAAGATCTCAGCTCTCTGGCAGTTTTTAGCTAAAGGAAGGAAAAGAAAGTTTTAAAATGTCATACAAAAAAAAAAAAAAAAAGTTTACAAACACATCTTAATGAAAGATGTTACTTGAAAAAAGTAAAATAATAAAATGCCAAAATACCTGTAAAATAGTAACCACATTGCCATTTTATAGCTAATAAATTAACATTAATGGAACCAACAGGCAATATAACTGCAATTTAACTGAGGGGAAAGCTCTCTTCAGGAAATGACATCAGAAGGACAAATAGGAGTTAACCGGTTAAACGAGGAAGTGAAAGTGGTCCAGTCGAGGAAGAACATGTGCAAAGGAAGGACCACAACACAAGAGGACAGCAAGGAGGCCAGTGTGGCTGAAGCAGACAGACAGCAAGGAGGAATATGAAGCTTTGAAGCGCTTCCACACAATGTGAAATAATTTGGCCTTTATCCTGAGAACAATGCTTTAAAGAAGGAGGAGACAAGACCAGATGCATGGATCACAGTCGATGCCTGTAGACCAGTTAGAAGTTCCTGCACTGCTGGAGACAGGAAACGAGGGCAGCATGGACCATTTAAAAAGAGAGATTTAAAAATAGTATCGGCAAGATTTGGGGAAAGATTTGAAAGAGGGATTAAAGAAAAAAGAGTATAAAGATGATTCCCAGGTTTTTGGCTAGATTGAATAGGGATTATGGTGCCATTTACTGAAACAGGAAGCGCCAAAAGAAGACCAGGAAGGCTATGAAGAAGGTTGTAG